GCCGTGAAGTGAAGCAGATTTTAAAGTTGGGGATAAAGTATTGAAGCGGAAATTTTCTTTATCAAGTGCCCCAGACAATTTTACTGCAAAGCTAGCTCCAAAATTGAAGGCCCCTATGTAGTTCAGGAAATCAAAGGAGTCGTATTGTATCTTAAGGAACGAGAGAGGGGAAGATCTGTAAAGCAAGTCCCGACCAGGTGAAAAAATACTATAATCCAAATGATTTTGAAATCCTTAAAGTTTCTTGCAGGACTCAAGTCTAAACGAAGTAGAAGGTCCAGAAATAACAACTGTTCCACCACCCAAGAAAAGCAGAGAACTGAAGAGAGACCTAGCCCTTCTACAACCCGGACGACGGATACCAAAAAAGAAGAAATGAGAACTTTCAAACTCCAGCATTTAAGAAAACAAGAAATGCAAGAGCCGCACCGCGTAAAGAAAGAAACTTGGTAAAGAGGAAAACACCACTTACAACGTATCGCAGTAGAAATTATGACATCGAGGAGAACGCTCCCAGGGCCAGAGAGTCAGGTGCAAAGCAAGGCCGCCGTTCCCGGAGAACTGAAAAGACAGCAGGAGGAACGAAAAGACCAGGAACAACAGAAGAAATTCAAGGACTCCAGACCGGAGGACGTCAAGAACAGCCGTCCAATGGAAAAACAGAAACGACAACAACCCGACGATTACTCCGCCAAGAGGCCAGCATGCAGAGGATGCAAAAGAAAAACTAATGTGGACGACACTCGGAGGTCAGTAAGGAGAAGATTGACGTCCATGAAACCTATAACATGGGAACAATTTTGCCAGAAAAGAATGACGGAGTTTCAATCATTGAAAACTCAAAGATAAGTTAAAATCTTCTATAAATTTTTTTCTTTTGTTCCGAAATGTTATGCATAAGTACGAAGTTCTATGTTTTGACGAAAGTCAATATGTCTCGGTTGAGACTTAGTTTTGTTTTACTTTATTTAGCTAAAGCAAAAGTATTATTTTCTTTAAGTATAAAATCTAAGAAAAAGCATTTTCTGTTGGTCGAAAGACTAATTCTGTTATGTTAAAGCCAAAAATTTGGCCGAAGATAAAAATAACTTCGTATTCTTGTATTAATAAGAATTTTAGTTTCAGTGCCGCCAGCTTGGCGAAGAATGAGTAAAGTAAAAATTTTTTCTCTTATTCATTTTATGGTAAATTGTAAAAATCATATGTATTAGAATTTTGTAAATGTACGTAAATACTTGAATGTTATGTAAAAGTAGAATTTAGTCTAGAAGCATAAAATTTTAGATGCTAAAAGTAATAAAATGCTCAAAAGCAATGAATTCAAAATTTAAGTATTAAACTGTAGATAAAAGTCATGCTTTAGAGCGAAAGCCTGCATGTTAAAGATGAATGAGGAAGTTAGAATGAATGTGTTTTGTAGGGTTCTCCACCTACACTTGAATTTTAAGAATGTTAAAGTAGCTCATCGAGTTGAGTTGTAGAATGTCGAGTAAGGTGTGTCTATTTGGTTGTGGAATTCTAACAAATCATGGTGGTTGGGGGAAGTGTTGTAAGACTAAAACACGAATATTCCCGTTTGCCACCACACACGGTGGAGAGCCAGGGTAAAGTTAAATTAATGCTTGAAAAATTGAATGAATGTGAATTAAGCAATAACTAAGGAAAACGAATCGTTTAAAAACAAAACTTTATTCAGTGTCAAGAAAGTGTAAATTATAATGTATTTAGAAAGATACTGATACTTATTCCTTCCAGATGCTGGAAGGAAAAGAACAAGATTGATTGATGAAGTCCAGGAAAAGTTGCTGTAAGAAGAGAGATTTATAAGTATCAACAGAAATTTAGTATACAATTTGTTACATAATTTTTTTTTGTTTTTTTGTGTTTTGAGGCTCTTGAGAGTTAGTTCAGAATTATAGAAATTTACAACAGGTCGTTTGTAGGACCTGCTTCCAAGTTTTCCAAATTCTGGCAGCGGCAAATGTAGGGTTTATATTTACTTTAACTAACATTTATTTTAAGTTTAAACTATCTTTCCTGTCAAGCCTTACTTTCCCCTGGAACTGCCAATGCCAGAGTATGTAAATTTTAGTAGAACGCGCAAGGACTCAAATTATCAGCGGAAGTATTCTGAGTTAAATAGAAAGGAAACGAGTTCGAGGTGTGCTGTTCGTACTTCACGAGCGCGGAGGTAGTTAGCCTGAAATTGAAGAACCCCGCGTTTCGGCCTGTGTGCTTGCCTAGGAGAATTGTTAATTGTTCAACGTAATATTCAAAGTTTGCTGAATTAGCAGCGGAATTGTAAAATGCGGTGAGGGTAGTTACTTTTAGAGAGCCTCGTAGTTAGAGTCTTGTTATTAGTTTCTTTTCAGGTTCTTATTTTTATTTTACCGCCGAGTCGGCGTAGTTTGTGAGCGTCAAGAGCTCGCAATTGTAACTACTTAAGTTGAATAAAAAGGGACTTAAACCCGTAGCAAGACTCTGTCATTTTTCCAGTCACCTCTTGGTTGCGTGCAAGTTGGAGGCGCGCAACTCTACAAAGTATTGAAATAAAAATTTCATAACCTAAAAGTAAAAATAATATATACTTAGAGACTCGTTTAAAGTGGGCATCTTCCACATTATAAAGTAATTAATTATCTGGAAATCTCTTCACATTTGTATAAAATTAAACCTAACGTAAGTGAAAGAGTATTGAGAGTTAACTAATTGAGGACAACTCTTAGGCATTCGCTGAACAGTCAAGGGGAACGTGAAAAAGGTTACATTACTTAATCACAGAGTCCCTGTGGAGACTATTATGATTAAACGTCACGAAGGCCTGATTTACAACGAACAAAAGACACTGAAATACCACGTTAACACGATGCTTTAATTAGCTTCAGTTAACATAAAAACGCTATATAAAGTGTAGTACATATAATTTAACTCTAGGAAAAGTTCTCTAGTTTAAACATATTTAGAAAAGTACTTATTTAAAAATGTTTGCTTATTTATTTTTTTAATATTTTCATTCATCAGGTACGAAACTTTAAGAAGTGCTTTCCAGTTAATGCATTTAATTCAGAGGCAAAATGTATAATAAAAGGAATGCCCTAGAAGCTTTAAATATGTTGTTAATTGGAGACTAATATGTTACGTTAATTAAATGCTTCGAAATGAAATCCATTTCCATTTATCTAACAAAACATATGTTACAAAATATATTTAAATTATGCAGACTTTTTGTGCAATGGCCTATTTCATAATGGCTTATTTCAATCTCTTAAAGTATTTATAGCGTAGGTATAAAATCATTTTACGATTAGCATGGTTGCAATTTTAAAGTCCCAACTAAACTACTCATAATAACCGTAGAAGTCTGCAGGATAAAATTTGTCTCGTCACCTAGAATTATCATAATTAAGATAAAATTTAGAATAAAACTCTTTATTAGCATGCCGAAACTGAAACAAATTCAAGTTCTACGGAGCAGGAATTAATTTAATAATTTTATAAAAAATATAAACAGTTATGTTAAGTATATAGCTGAACTCTTTATAAACAAAAGAAACATCTGTATGTTTGGAATAACCACGTAAATAGAACAGCGAAACAAATATGTGATTGTTCGAATTCGAAACATTTTAGATGCAAATCTGATAAAAATTAAGCAAGCGTGTAAAAAATTAAGTGAAAGACTTCAAAGTAATTTCTGACTTTAATCTGAACTATAGGTAATCCTTTAACTATCGAGTTCTCTGTTGTTTAAAATTTTATTATTTATGTAATGAATAATAATTTTAGCACAAAGTATTTTGCAGGAATATTTTATTACGTTTTATAACAGGGAAAATACTATTTTGTTAATTTTAGTTATTAGTTGAATGCATACAGTACAACATAAATGATGGTCACAATTCAAAAAATGACAAAAGTAAAATTTTTGGAACACAGTGTACGATAGAGTGTGTAAAAAGAATGCGGAAACCCAGTAAATACGACGAAAGTGTAGAACGGAAAGTTATTTGAATCATAGATATTTACAAGAATAATGTCTGATATTTACAATTCAAAATGATTCAAATGAGAATGATTCAAAAAAATGAACACCAAAACAATACTCGCTTCACAACGACAATTAAGTATTTGGCGTTTCTTTACACCAAACGTGTCACTCACTGGTGCATCAGTGATTCCCAATTCTGATGACAAGGCCTCCGGAACAGTCAAAAAGTACACGTTTTGCAAACGAGATCCATCGTCGTTCATATGAATGTAATCTAGTTCCATTAATTTAAATAATTATTATAAATACCAAACATTATTTCTAGTAAATACCTATGATTGGCACTGTTTTGTAAGAAATCATAAACTCAGATTGGTTGCTTGAACTATAGATTTTGATAAATATCGAAACTTCCTCTCTTGATTACTCGAGAATATATTTCAAAAATCTGTAGAAAACTTTGCTTTTTTGCTTAAAAAAGCATTCCGAATGTTTATGAAGACATCTACTCGGAAAAAGAGTAGAATATTATTTACAAGCAAAAAAGACGTATGAAGATTTATAAAATGCTTTTCTAACGATCCTTTAACAACATTTTTTTTTTTTTTTTTGCATTTGGAACTAATTTGTTTTACATTTATTTTAAATGAAAGACCTGCTTAATATGCCATTCCTTTTTCTCAGTACGTAAAATCAACTGAGCCTTTTATATGTTTACACAAAATGATGTGAATTACATTTGAAATAAGAGAAATGTTCGGAACAAATAAGTCCTGTATTTTTCAATCCAGACATTTTTTTATACAAAAATAAAAATTGCGTTTGCGTTAGAGCCTTTTTCATGCTCATTGCACCAAACAACCCGAAACTTCTTCCTGATAGCTTAATCCAAACCTTAACATTATTGAGCAAGAGATATAAAAAATTCTTTTCGAAGCTACTCATTGAATAACTCGTTTCTTTTATTCCTGAAAGTACTATGTAGCGTGAAAACGTCCTATGGTATAGAATCTCACGGTCGGTTGCCACTACAAGAAATAAAAATTGAACTAAAAAGAATTTTTCTACGTACCGTGATGATGAGAGGTGCGTAGAGGAAGAGTGCTTGTCAGCAGAGATGGATGACTTCCTCCCAGATTCATCAGAAGTCTCCTGAAGAAGAAACAAAGAAGAATTTATTTTATTTTAGTTTTTGTTTCATTCAAGAATGAAAAAAAGGAGTGACAGCGTAGAACAAGCTTCTTAAAAGCTGTTCCAAATAGTGTGTACATTAAAATACGTGTTAGGTGCTTGATAAATATTTATATTCTCGGAGTAATCGTGTACCATTTATTTTTAGTAGAAAGGTTTTTCAGTCTGGTTAAAGAGCAAATCCTTCCCTTTCGGCTGCTTTTTTGTCTAGATAAGTTCTACATTTTTTAAAAATATTTTAAAGCTAAGCTGTTCTTTTCTTAAATTGCGCAAATTTGCTTTCAAATAGTAATAGAATAAAAACTGATTTATTCTTGACGTAACAGTGAAAGCAAAAAGAAGGCTATCTTTTTATAACAATAAAATTATTTTAATCTATTTTTTACAAATTTTTTACAGCTTTGTAACATATTTTTGCAATTTATCTCTTGTTTGTTTTTCTATTTATAAATTTTTTGTTTAAATGAAATATTTTTATCTTAACTCTGTATTTGAGAAATTCTATCTGAATAACGGAGAAGAGCGAGAAAATACCATTCAATTTTATGAGATATCTTCCAACGGAAATTAAGTCTTGAATATCTCAAAATAAATATCTACGAGGTTTTATTCAAAATACAATAAAATTATTGTATTTTGTTTTCTAGTATACTGTCAACATATCATTCAGATTTTAACTGAAGAGTAAAAAATATCTGATTTTAATACTGTATACCGATTGACTGTATACAAATTCTACATATTTATTCTTCTTTTTAATACATTGGAACTCAATTATTCATTTTAATAATGAAATAGCAGTTGTAAACCAAATAATACACAGAAAAAATCAATTAGTTAATAGATAGACTCAGAAATGCAACGTATGTCGTTTTCATTTGATGAACATCATGTAATTAACAGGATAATCAAAAGTAATATTTTCATATTTAGGTTAAAATGGATTGATAGATTAGATAAAATAGGTTAGTTGTTTGACTTCCAAATTAACACATTAAACACATATTAAACATTTTTAATTTTCATTTTGATATATATTGAACAATTTTAATCCAGAAAAATTTGAAATTCTTACAGTATTACAAATTAAATTCAATGTTATCATTTAACAGCGATATTTAGCATTAATTTGTTTTACGAATAGCGTCTAATTTACGTTGCCTGCATGGATTTAAAATTTTATTTTTGTAGTTAAAATATGATACAATTGAAAGCGTATAAAGAAGATAAACTGATTTTTAATTTATCCGAGTTAAAATAATGCACCGAATAACGATTATTGGGGGATTTAAGGCAACAAGAATCAGCGCAATATTCATAAATTTGTAGAAATAATCTCGAAGGTTTAAATATAGAGCTATCAAAATTAGTGATGCAAATTTCTGAACATTGCGCTGATTCTTCTTTCCAACTCCTTTAATAATTCAACTGCTAAGCGACTAGAATATTTTTTGTGGTATCCATAAGAACTTATATATACGTGCATATTAAAATACGTCAAAGAAATTAAGGAAATATATCAAAAGGAAACAAATCCAGGTATGAAATACCAGGAGAGTTTTTACATTAAAATCAAAAAAAATAATTTGTTCTCATAGTAGTTTTGGGAAATTTGTGCTTTCTTAGCGAAAACTCTGGCCGCTCAGAGGGTTCAAAGAGAAAAAACACTTGGACGTGCATAGGAGCAAATAGCAGTAATTGAATTAGTACTAACAGAAAAGACATAAACCATATCATTGCAGATTAAATTGAACAGCGACAAGTTTGCGACTATATGGTTGTATAAATTTAAATTACGTCATAGAACATCATTTCATATCACAAACGGAACATCCCATGATTTTTCAGTCGAATTATGTGAAGATTCAGGAATTTATCCAGTGACGTTATAAGGTATTACTCCCGCCTTCTTAGTGTGCCTTTGTGGTGTAGTGGTCTGCACGTTCTGTGCCTATTCGAGATGTTCGTGGTTCGATTCCTGGCGAGGGCATTGCTCATTTTTTATTTCCTCTGCTTCCAAAAAAATACCTAATGTCTCTACAGTGGCTCCCGAACTAAAAGGTGGTGAATGACGATTCTTCACCACCAGGATTTGGCGACTGGGTCCCCTAATTCCCAATCGCCCTTTGAAAGCGGGGAGAATATATGGTATTTCTCCCGCCTTTTTAGTGTGCATTCGCTGTGTAGTGGTGTGCGAGCTCGATGCGTATTCGAGAAGTCCGCGGTTCGATTCACGGCGAGGGCATTGCTCATTTTTCAAGTCTCCTGCTTCCAAAAAATCCTAATGTTTCTAAAACGTATATAGAAATCATCTAAAGACGTTTTCTCTCTTCATGAAACTAGTCTTTCCTTTCATCTCATGCCTTCAAATGCTTAGCCACTAAAGACTGACAAAGGCTCTGACCAAATACTGATGAAATGGATTGAATTGAATTATTAAATTACGGCAAAGAAGGGCTATCTGCATAATTCTAGATTCATTTTCATTTCAATAGTGCTATTTCATAAAGAGTCCGATTTTGTGTCAAAATACCTATATTATAATAGTGCTATATATAAATCTAATATATAGCCTAAGTAGTGTATACATTTTTTTTTCAAATTTGCATCGATGTTATTCCATACATTAGATCAAAAGCAAAATTTAATGCATACTTAAAACGCAATATACCGATTCATTGATAAAACAGTTGACTTTAGCTGCTACCAGAATGAGTATTTTAATCAAAATTGTCTAACATAATTCTGTGTGATTTTTAAACATCTTAAAATTTTCAGTAAATGATGGGAATTGAAATGCAAGCTCTAGTTTTATATTAAATGACAGAAAGATTGTAAAGTCTTATTTGTAAATCAGTTTTTTGCGTCAATAATAATAGCACATCCTTAAAAAGGGTTAATGTAATTTATTTGAAATATCCATCTTGAATCTATCGATCGCTGCAAATGCTAAATATTTTAAGGCTATATTAAAGAAATGTTAATGCTTTCCAACTGGATTATTTTCTTTTATATCACCACTTTATTTTAAAAATTATCTTATCAAAATAAAATATCACCGTCAAACCTAAGAAAGTTGAAAATAAATAATCCATAACAACAGAAAACATAATAAAAGTTTCTAAACGGCAAAAAACAGTTTTAGCTGTTACACACAGAAATAGATTTCGGAATAATACATTTCACAGAATTAAAACTTTTACATATTTATAAAAAATAATTAGCAGTTTTAAAGCTCTTTATACAATTTTTAAATTAGAAAAATAATTACAATTTTTTTTTACTCTGAAGGAGTATGACAGCATAAATATAGATGCTGAAAAAAATAAAGAAAATTTCAAAATTAAAAAAGATAAAAGATCTTAGTTGTTCCTCTCTGACTGACACGAATTTAAAAGAATTTCTGCAGTCATCATATATAAAAATGTGTCGTTAACGCGATCGAAACTGTCAAAGTTTAAATTATGATCACTGCTTTTATTAATTATGCATTCTTTTTATGATCGAAGATGTCAGACTTTTAATTATGAGAGTTCTCTTCCTTTCATTTTGAGAAGTGTTAAAAATCATTTAACTGCGTGTCTTTCTTCCATGGTTGGCAGGTTTCATTTTTGCTACTGTCAAAATTTATATGTCTTGTTGGCAGTTAGAAAAAATAATTTGTGGTAAAGGATTCTCTTTCTATGTCTATGTATATACATATATGTGTGTGTGTATAGAGAGTGTAACAGTATGTGTGTATACAGAGCATAACAGGAAAGAAGATCACAACTTTAAGTGGTGATACAACATGGCAAAACAAACAGTTATCTCATATAATGCATAGTGAAATGTGAAATATGAGTATAGAAACACAGTAAGTACAAAGAACATGGAAAACGAGAAGTCATTTTAATCACACATAGTTACAAGAAATAATATTTCATAATCAAAATTATTTTTTTAAATGAACGTCTAGCAATTGTAAGATTTGCTTCACAATGGCAACGTATATCGTTTGCGAGATGCAGATTAACTCTTCGCAAGCTCAGAACATTTCCCAAAATTAGAGTCACAGTAGAATGACTTGCCATGTTGAGCATTTTCAAAAGTCCATCTCTTTGTCATCTTTATGGGGCATTTATTGCAGTTACGTTATTAGTTTGAACAGTTACTGAAAATATAAAGCATTGTTGTTTGTAAATACCCGTAAAAATTACTTTTTATTCTCCATGTTTTTTGTACTTTCTGTGTTTCCGTGATCACATTTCACATTCCACCACACAATATGAAAAGAAAGTGTTACATTTTCCCCGGTCTTTGAAGTTATAATTATCAACTATGTTATTCCGTGTAACGCATCTGGGGAGCAAACTACTGGTATTTAAAAATAACAGTAAAACTTGTGCGCGGAAAACACTTATAAAACTGCCGAGTTTCCGATTAAGTAAGATTTGGAAGTACTTCCAGTTACGTTACGAAGGCAAGTGGAAAGGAGGAAGAAAATACCTTAAACTCTATGATCCTTAATTGCTGAAAATTATTTATCTATTTCCGTTGCAGACATTTTATATTATTCTGTTCTGTCGCTTTCTTCCTCCAAAATTATTTAACTAAGTTTTATTTTATGTTATTTAACATATGTTTAAACTTTTATGTTATATATATGGCATATGTTTAAATGAAAACGGGATGCTATGCATATTTCACATGTTAAAATGATAAATAAATGAAATAAGCTCAAATAAATTCGTGAACTTAACAATGCAGTATATTAAGCGAGAATAATATAAAACTGCACAAATATTTTACAATTGTTTGGATCAAGTAGAAAATAATACAACAAATTATAACAGAAAAATAAATGTCAGAAATTCAAAATTTAAGCAAGTATTTCCAACATTAAAGTATAAGAGAATAATTCAAGAAGCAAAAATTATTTTATACATACCTCCTAAGATATCTTCAGGGTTTTGAAACTA